TGAGACAACCCTGCTTTTAAACCCTTGGGGCTGTGAGGATTAAAATGTCATGATACAGTTTCTCACTACTACTTGCTTTTGGCAAATCAAATATAAGCAAAGGATCAACATCTCTTCCAGAGCTTTGTGTCCTATATGATTTTGTGTTAAGATTTTCTGGATTTAATTTAAATTTCAAATAATGTGTAATCTGTTACCTGTTTTTCCTTTATAAGGACAGGAATAATGGAAAGAAAAATTGGGGAAGGCTGACATGTTAGATGTAATGATTCAGTGTTCTTTCTCCTAGTAGGCTATGCATTTTGAGATATTAATTAGACTGAAGTGAAAACAATTGTTTCATGGCACTTACTCAGAATTCACCTTCCATAAATCTTTAAAGAAGCTGAACTTTGTTTCAGAGAAGATGAGGTGCTACTCTGAGATCAATGATACTCCATTGAATTGTAAGAGAGAGAAAATGTTGAAGGTTATCACTGTAAGGAGATGAAGAAAATTGCAAATAAATTACATGATGCATCAAAAGCAACATAAAACTTTTAGGATCCTTAGATGTTTTATAGTGTGTCGTAGGTTTAATATCAAGATTTCTGGTACAGAATTTTTGAAATATTTAGACAATAAGGTAAATAAGTAAACTAGTGTGCGTTGCAGCGTGTATTAGAAGCAATGGAGGTTTTTTTTTTGTATTATATTTTTTGAAGGAATAGCCCCCAGGTTACAAATTCCCTGGACAACGATACTGCTGAGTCAAATGTAGATATTTCTATGTTCTCTTGGCCAGAAATGACTAGGCCCTAAGGCATCTACAAAGATAAGAAAGAGTTTTTTGACTGAAATGAGCAGTTGGTAGTTTGATTTTGGTTTTTTGGCTTTCAGTGTTTCCCAGGATAGGAGTACTTTTTTGCAGCTGTTTGTACATAATATTACACAAGTTGAACACTTCTTTCATACAGTATTAGTATTTTCAGTCATTTTTACAGATGCACATGAATGATTTCTGCCTCCTTGATAGCACTGTAGAGGTACCTTTTGTCAAACTGGGATAACAACTGAGTTTTGCTGCACATATCTGTCTCAACATACTTCTGTCAAACTTATCACAGCCTGGAGAAGCTGCCTTTGTGGGTATCCGTTCTAAAATAGTAACCACACCACATCAACTTTTCACAATTAAGCAGTGTTCATTACTGACATGTATTTTCTTTCCAGAGAAACTGAAAAAGTGGATCATCAAGCTGTTCCTCAAGTCAATCACGTGGATGCCTGTGAAGAGTATATGAAGGCAGAGAGTACAGATACAAAAGAAAGTTATCAAAAATCAGCTGACATGCTTGGCTATGATAAGCGTGAAGAGATAAGAAGAGAAAAAGGGGAGGAGGAGCGTTATATCCACAGAAAAGAAACTCTGGAAACTAAGAAGGGAAAGCCTAAGCATGCGTTAACAGAAGCTGATTCATTATTTCCAGACTTAACAAATGCGTCGTGGTCCCAAGTAGCTCAGTCTCAGCCAGCTGAGAAGAATGGAACGCTTCCTAGCTCATTAAGTATGAGTGCTGGCCTAGTGGAGCAGAATGGTACCAGCTCATATAAAAGAGGGTTTGTTCCCAGAACAAATCCAGATAAACAGATTCAAAGAAAAAGTAACATGGCTCAAGTGGAGCACTGGGTAAAAGTCCAAAAAGGAGATACAAAAAGGTTAGTAATAGTCCCGTCTTTAAATAGACTGCCAAATGGCGTTTTCTTAAATTAAAGAAAAATATGCATTAGTGATATGTTTAGTGCAAATCAGAATTATATTTTACAGAGATAACACATAATGAAACTTGCTTTCTCCTCCAGTGCAGAATGGTATTTTTCAGGTGTTTATCTCACGGGAAAGTCAATATGGGATTGGCTAATCAAATCCCTTTAGCGTTGTCACTATATTGCAAATAGAAGTGAGATTAGAGTGCTTTTTTTTTTCACTGTTTTTAATCACTGCGGATGCTTAAACCTTCTTAAAATTTGCTACAATTGAAGAGCCAGAAAGTGAAGTGCAGCGCTCAGTTACCTCTTATTCATAAACAACTACACGATATAAATTATAGAAAATAATGTTTTCCACTTAAAAGTAAAGAACGCTGTTTTTTTCTTTTCTCCCTTCTGTTCCTGTTCCAAACATCCATTCACTCCTCTGTATCAGATCATTGCACTCGAAGTCACAGTGTGCACGTCATATATTGAAAGGTCTCCGTATATTCATTTAGTTAATGAAGAGGTCCTAGGGTGTTCCCATGGTCTTCAGGATTCTCTTTTCCCTTTCCAGTCCCTGAAAATTACATAAATTGTATCAAGAGGTGGAATGCATGCTGGAATGCTTTTGTAATTTGAAAATCTCGTAATTGCTTTGCTTTCAAAGTGTGCAGTCAGATTAGGTACCAGTTGGAAAAATGAAGTGATGTGTATATGTGTCTGTTGAGAACGTCACCTCGTGTCAAGTGGCAGGACAGACAGTTGGGCTTTGTGCTGCACATGAGGGTTTTTCAAATATGGGTAACCTACTGAATTGGTACCTTATAAATTTACTAAAATCTAATTATAATATAGAACAATAGCAGACATTAGCGTGTGGTTCTTAGGAGGGAGAGAATATTTGGGGCAATTTTTTTAATGCTTATTGAAACTAACATTTGTCATTTTGGTGGCAGTAAGAAATTTAAGGCTTGCTAATTCTGTTTGGAAGTCCGTTCTGCTACTCTCTTATCTTTGGGGTTACCCTTAAAGAAGCTTTCATACTTTTAGATTTTATTTAATGTTCTTCTACAGTGCTAGAGTCGATTTACTTGCAACTTTTTTGCTTGGATATAAATCAGTGATTCCTGAGAGAGTATGACTTTAATGAAGAAAAGTACTTGGTATCTTAGTTATTCTTACATGCACAGATCTATTAGTCTAAAATAATACAGAAAGCTATTGAACTAATTAGCCAGTGCTTACCAAAATGTCCTTTGATATTTTTCACATCAAAAGTATGGGCAGTGAACAGGCTTGACTGATCACTAAATAAGTAGTTTTCTTCCTAATCACTCTTCCAGTAAATCAGCTTTAGGCATGTATCAGGTGTAGTGGTAAGATAGTACTGTTGGGGGGGGTGAGAGAGAGAGAGAGAGATTATTCTTACCTTAAGAACTTTCTTTATGTTCTATTTTAGCTCACTTGACCTTGTTTTCTTTGTCTTTCTCTGGCAAATGCCGTTATATTCTGTGTTCAGAATAAATCACATGTTACCTTCCTGAAGATTAATGGATTGATTTTTTTTTTTTAATGGCACCTTCTCTCTGCCTGCTGAGCTTGCTGCAGTGCACTTAACTTAGTTGTCAAATGTCTTCCTGATTTCAGTATGTAGAAATTTAAGATAGAGATGATAATCTAATTGACTTTCCATTTTGATTTTAGTATGAGCGGACCACTTAATTTCTTAATGCTCCGTGTTATTCCACCTGAAATGTTACAAATAAAGAACCTCTGAGGACTTGGAAGCCTTTATAATTTTTGAACACAGGATGAGTACAGTTTTGCTTGTTTCCTGGCTCAGGTGTATAAAGATGCAATGCTTGCCAGCAAGTTAATTAGGACAAAAAGAACTCTTTCAGCTAGAGTCTTCACACAAATACAGCAGTTATTTGTAGAATTATTTGCAGGAATCGCACCTTTTATATAGATAGCTAGGTCTTTCAAATAGATATTTTACTTCCTCTTTTTTTAAAGCACTCAGAACTGTTTGCTAGCTAGTAACTGTTAACTGTCGTTTTGAAGATTCATCTCTCTTAGACAGCAAAGTGTTAGCTGCACTACGGTTGCGTCCCATGTTGTCATCTAACCCCTCTCTGTTCTCAGCAAAGGGGGATACCTGCTTTAGTAAGGTTCATGCCAGCCTTTGAGAGAGATCTAGAGGATTGGAAAGAAGTTTGAAAGGAGGCTTTCAGGAGATTTTGTTTTTAATTAAAGGTCAGGGCCATCAAACAGCAACTCTCCAGAAATTATTAGTCTTTGATATGGTTCCAGTGCTGGGATAGACCTAGTCACTACGTCATTGTAAAGAATCTGCTATTTCTAAAACTTAAAAATATATATATAAAAATCTGAGAAATTTAAGCTTAATATTTCTCAACTAAATGCAGTTATACTGAGGAACTTCCTTTCTTGCAAGTACAGTGTTAAACATTTCTTGTTATGCAGAACTTTCCATTCATTCCCAATTTGCTTTAAGGAGGAAACATGACTTGTCTTTGTTAGCTTCTGTGCACTCCCATGAATGGACATATTGTTTCTAATAATTGTATGTGTTTTCTTTTGGACATTTATTTTCTGTTTTTACAATATCTTCTGTGCGGTTGCTTCCCATTTCAGACCCTGAATGATTTTCATGGCCAATAATCATATACTATGGCATCAGGCCATTTTTTCACTCTTCAATGTCTGCTTTGTTTCTATATTCTTTACACCTCAGCATCCAAGAGAGGGATATTCTCAAGAACATCTGCTTTTGCTCATTTTTACTCTTGATCTCTGAGAAAGCAATTGTCCAGAGCTCATTGTGGACTGATTTGAGTCATTTGAAATATGAAATCATAGAATGATTTGGGTTGGAAGGGACCTTAAAGATCATCTAGTTCCACCCCACTCCCGTCATGGGCAGGCACACCTTCCACTAGATCAGATTGCTCCAAGCCTCATCCAGCCTGGCCTTGAACACTTCCAGGGATGGGGCATCCACAGCTTCTCTGGGCAACCTGTTCCAGAGCCTCACCACTCTCAGAGTGAAGAATTTCTTCCTTATATGTAATCTGTATCTACCCTCTTTCAGTTTAAAGCCATTGCCCCTTATCCTATCACTACATGCCCTTGTAAAAAGTCCCTCTCCAGCTTTCCTGTAGGCCCCCTTTAGGTACTGGAAGTCTGCTAGAAGGTGTCCCTGGAGCCTTCTCTTCTCCAGGCTGAACAGCCCCAACTGTCCCAGTCTGTCTTCACAGGAGAGGTGCTCCAGCCCTCTGATGGTCTGTGTGGCCCTCCTCTGGACCTGCTCCAACAGGTCCGTGCCTTTCTGTTGGAGACCCAGAGCTGAACACAGTACTGCAGGTGGCGTCTCATGAGAGCAGAGTAGGGGCGCAAAATTACCTCCCTGGACCTGCTGGCCACGCTTCTTTTGGTGCAGCGCAGGATACAGTTGACTTTCTGGGCTGCAGACGCACATTGCTGGCTCATGTTGAGCTTCTCATCAACTAACCATCCTCAAGTTCTTCTCCTCAGGGCTGCTCTCAATCCATTCTTTGCCCAGCCTGTATTTATGCTTGGGATTGCCTCTACCCGTGTTCAGGACCTTGCACTTGGCCTTGTTGGACTTAATTAGGTTTGCATGGGCCCACCTCTCCAGCCTGTCAAGGTCCCTCTGGATGGCATCCCTTCCTCCAGTGTGTCAACCACACCACGCAGCCTAGTGTCGTCAGCAAACTTGCTGAGGGTGCACTTAATCCCACCGTCCATGTCAGCAACAGAGATGTTAAACATTCTTCCTGTCCTGTTATAGAAGCTGGAATGTCATCTTAGTGCCTATTTTTATATAATGCAAATTATTTTTAAGGGTCTGAAATCTTGTGTGGTAGAGATGCCACCTGCTTCAAGCCTGTCATCTTAGCTGGAGGTTTCTCCCTACTTAATATGAGAAATTGCAACCCACCTATATGTAGGCAGTTGCCTCTAAAGTACAGCTTTGAATATGATTTTCCCTGTGCAATATAATGCACGTGCAACTTTGTTAGTTTTCCTGGCAGGCTGAAGTATTGCATGAAGCTGGCAATTCCCAGCTACTCAAAGTACTGCTGTCATCCAAACAGTTGTAAGTTCCTCTCAGACAAGATGCATCCTTTTCTAGAAGAAAGGCACGATTCTACACCCCCCCCTACACACACACCCTGCCAAAACTCATGGGGTCTTTGTTTTCAGACTGCTTTGCTTCTAAAGCTGCTAGCCCTGGTGGCATCATTGACTACCATTAATTCCTGCAGATCTCAATATTTGACCCTTTCATGTGCAATTAGAAAATAGCCACACACAGATGGCTTGCAGCATTCAGTAGTTTGCTGATACCTTTACCAGGGCTCCACTAGGTTGGAGTATAGAAATGGTCTATAGTTCCTCTGTTTTCCAGAGAAATCACCAAAGGGATCTGTCCCAGCCTCGTGCCTGTCTCAGATGTCCTTTTGAAGCATTACCTGCTCCAAGCTTTCTCAGTTCTCATTGCTGTCTAGAGAAAACACATTTTTACCTCTTTGATTTTCATGTGGAAAGAATTGGCGGTACAGTACAGAACATACAGAGTGCACATGATGTAACGAGGTAGACAAATGGAAGAGGTTACCTGACCACTAAATGCTCATCTTTGAGTTGCCTCTGTTCATGCTACCTGCCTGCTGGTGAAATCTGAGGTAGCATCAAGGTTCTGTGGTATGAGAGAGCAGAGCTTTTACAGATTTGTAATCCTCCATGCAGCACGGGGCATTTATGCTGCTTTGTGACATGAGGAATTACATATCAAGAACATCCATATTTCAAGACAACCCAACAGTGCCAAATCCTACAAGTAGAAATAGACGGAGGCAACTATTGAGCAGTGGTTATGGTAGCAATTCTTTTTCCTCCTGCTTCTTTTGTTCTTGGATGCTGAACAAAGATGTTTTTCCATCCTCTCCTTTCTTTCACGTGGAATTCCTGCAGTTCCTACACCATCGAGTCTCCTTCTCATGCAGAGTGGAGTCTACCGAGTGGTGTGATGAATGTGCTCCATGCTCTGTGTTTCTTCATTTGTGGGTTTTTATTTTGTTGTTGTTGTTGTGTGGTGGTTTTTTTGTGGTTTTTTTTGTATTGTTACTCTGTGGTAAGTCTAGCAAAATGATCCTGAATCAATGGGTGAGTAACTGCAAGTTTAAGACCCCCAGATGTTTAACTGCAGAATCAGAAATTAGGCAGTTCCTGATGCAGGAGGCTACAGAAAGATTTTGACTTCAAAGTAGTAGAGGGAGGTAACTACACTTTGTCAAAGCTTTCCAATTCTGTCTTAACTCTCTATCTACTGAAAGATTTGATTTTTATGGTTTAAGTATATTGTAGGTGAAGTACTAAAGCCAGGATGTAATGCCTGGTTTTATATTCTAGTTTGTCAATGAATTTTCCAGCAAAAAGCCTCGTGTTGCTTAAAACAGTAGAACCAGTAGCATTAGGTCAGATGAAAGTAAACAATACAGACTTGGCGACTTCGAGCAATTTCATAACCTTTTTTTTTGCTTCGTTAACATGAACAAAAATTTTCTGAAGTGCTTATTCTGTGATTGGTGAGTTTTCTTGCACTTTTAGAGGTAATTTTTTATACTGAGCATGCATTTGTTCTTCGTAAACTGCACCACCTAGTGGTGAGCAGGCTTTCAGTCAAAAATGCTCGAATTTACGGATTTGCTCTTTAAATATAATAGTAATAATTCCTTTCTTCACGGTCTTGACATTCTTTTTGGTCTAAGTATTATTTCTAGTAGGTCATCCTGTGTTACACACGAAATTAAAAGCCTATATTTATACTGTTTGCATCTTTACATGAATACAGTGTAACGTTTTTGTGCAGGGTAGATTTCGTTAAGATTACTTTGTCAATATTTCTGTAAATTCTTTTAAAATTACTCTTGTATGTTGTGTCTTGTAGCTCCTATGCTAATGTCATTAGAGATTTATTTTTTTTAATCAGTCTCTCCCACTCATCAATGTGTGCTAAAATTTACTCTTCCTCCCCCCGCTCCTTCTTTACAGCCTCACTTCTGATCAGACTCTTACACGTCAGGGTCCCAATCCACCTTTTCCTGAAAACTATCACACTTTGCCAAAGAATACCAGGCAGCCTTCAGGGAGCTCACCACCACCACCAAACCGCAACTTGCCGAGTGACTACAAATATGCGCAAGATCGTGTTAGCCACTTGAAGATGTCCCAGGAGGAAAGGAAAGCAAATAAGGATGGAACCGTTTGGCAGCTATATGAGTGGCAGCAGAGACAGCAGTTTAAGCATGGCAGCCCCACTGCCCCACTTTATGTAGGTTCTTCAGACTTTATTGATCGTGGTAAGTCAAAAAGTTCATTAGATGTTCCGCGATCAATATCTGTTCCACCCTCTCCGTCTGATATTCCTCCACCCGGACCTCCAAAAAGCTTTACCCTGCGGAGACCGCATACTCCTGCAGAAAGGCTTACAGTTAAACCATCTGAGGAGAGACAGACTGTAGATGTTCCTTTTGCTGGATCACCCAGGAAGATACGAAATCGTGCTGTGAAGGTTTGTATACAGTACAACTGATTTCAAACTGTTCTACATGTGGTGTCATACATCAAAAATTTAATTTAATCATTTTCACTGCATCCTTCCTTGTGTATGAAAGATCGTGCAAGTTGTGGAAGTTAACACAGTGAATAATTTTCTCCTAAAACTCTTCTGATTGTTTCGGATTTATTAATTTTTGTTGGTTAGGAAAGAAGAATCAGTGGCACATTACATTGATTTGGAATAGTTTTATTCAAAAACTGGAAGGCATATGTTTATGAGTATAAAATACACAAATCGTAGTATTTTAGTGTATAGAATAGGTAGGAAAGAATATAAAACTCAGCAGCATGAACTCTTCCTTATTTACTTATGCTTGTAGTCTTCAGTGTTTGCTGTATCTGTTTTCTCTACATGTTTTGCTGTCATAGTTAGTCTTACAGCTGATTCAGTTTTTAGTTATGGCTAAAAACATAATCATTTGTAATGCATTTGATAGTTTAGACCCTTTGCAGAGTCATTATGATTGGGCTAACCAAAATCAAATCATAATCAAATCAAATCCAATGTAGAATTTCAGTGTGTTTTTTTTGTAGGCACTCTTCTACCCTCTTATCCAGAGATGATGGGATTTTCTCTATTTGGTACTCCACATGACTATCCTTGGCTAAGGAAATTAAGGAAATTCAGGATTGAATCAATGTAGAATTTACTTGTCTTGGTAGCTCTTACACTGGAATAAGTGGAAATGAAAGCCTCTGTAATCGCCTAATTCTTTGACCTCGACCATGGGCTGTGATGGGAAAAGTATTTGCAAAGAAAGAAATTTGTAAATTCAGATACCCAGCATGGGTTCAGGACCATCACTTTAGGTTCCATGCCACCTTCATGCACAGTTTAGATTTATTTTTTTTCTAGTGTATATGTGGTGTAGCTGTCAGATGTCTTTCAACATTTATAGATTTATAATATTCTGACAGAGGATGAAATAGTCTTGTGATGTGCAGCACTGGAAATTAATATTGTTTTAACTTCTGATTATATTATACTAGACATTGGTTTCTCCATGTGTAAGTTGAAGGAGCATTGCATCCCTCATGAGGGAATGTACAGCAGTCTTTTCCCTTTCTGTGCTATGTAGCTGCAAAAATTTTATTCATAAAGTAAAACTCTAAATGTCATGTTGGTTTTACCAATATAGGGAAACAGTGTTTTCCTCATCTGTGCAACTTTTCTGTAAAATTTCTGTAAAAGTTTGTAGAGAAAAACACTCACGTTTTTATATGTAAGCACACAGCATCATTTTACCTTGAATTTTACATTGAAATGTATATGTCTATAGAAATCTGATACTCCTCCCTCCCTGGAATGCTTTATTAAATTCCATACAGTTACTCTTTAAAAAAAAGAAAAAAAGGCAGAACAAAACAGCATTCAGTGAAATTCAGAGACAGGAATAAAAATAAATCATGAGAAATTTATTCTGCCTTGAAGAAAGCCATAAAAGTTTGACATTAAGAGAAAGCTGAAAGAATGGATGTGCAGTAGGTTTTCATATTAGAAGCAGAAAGGGGCAGATCAAATATGATTATTTAAAAAACCCTGGTATTAATGGAACCCATTGCCACAAGGTGTCACTCATGTCAGTAGCTTAGTGTTCCCTGGCTAAAAGGGGACATTCACGGTTGTTCCTCTGTGGAGTGCAAGGCTGCTGCTGGAGGGCATAAGCCAATCAGCCTTTCTCTGGGAGACCTTAGGTGGGGGGGAGCTTTATGAATTTTTTTTTTTTTTTTTTTTTTATTTGCTGGAAGCTGCTGTGCATGTTCTGCTGAAGCATCTTATGCTGCCAGAATCTGCTGATCTGCCCAGCATCACAGGTGCTAAATTTGCATTTGTTCATTAGTAAGTTTTACTTAATCATCAAAGGATCTGGCTGGCCCATGAATGTTACCCTGATCTAAGCATGCTGTGAATTCAAATATAAGATTCGTGGCAGAGCTGCGTATCTCCTGAATTTTCCCTCAAGTACAACATACCTCTCACTTGAGATGATCCTTACGGTTCTGGCTGTGGCTTCTTACAGAGCTCAACTCACGTCGATCGACGCTCTATGCCTACTATGGGCTACATGACGCATACTGTGAGTGCGCCCAGTTTGCACGGCAAGTCGGTAAGTTGAGAGAGCAGTTACTTCTCCTTTTGTGTCATCGTATTGTTGTAGTTAAGTTTTAAAATCCTGCTCATTCCATAGTAGTTGTGTTTTTATTAGTTAAAACATAAATAACTTAATCTTAACCAGCTGCCAGTAAAGCCTGTAGGAATTTTGCTGTTATCTGCAACGTGAACAGGGATGAGCTGTCTGTTATTACAGGATTCAACTTTTATTATGTTTATTTGACCAAACGCAGAGTTAATGAAATAATTGCTTAATCGTGTCAAGTAACTGCTTTCTGGGCACTGAGGTGAAAAATGTAATTACAGTTACTCTCCCTGAAGACTGCTAATTTCCTCTTTACAATGTGTCTAAATACCTGCAGCCTGAAGAGCTAACATTGCTTCTCATTCGATTAAGGAGACATCAGGCTAAGTTGGCTAGTATACGAAATTACACAATCGCACAATTACTGCAGCACTTGCCAACTAATTCCACCTATCAGGTCAGCTGCTGCTTGGCTCATCTGTGCCGTATGACATTTTGTGACTCTGCAAATGCTTCATTAGTGGCATGCTTGAGCCTGTGCTTTCTTGCCCATTCTTTGGTATTCTACAGTTCCTGGGTCGTTTGTGGTTTTTCGTTGCTACTGTATTTGCTCTAAAAGAAGAGTGTTTTAAGTTATAGGGCAGCAGTGCATATGTTTCAAAGTGTCATGTATACTTCCTTTTTATACTATTTCTGAAAATGCTGCATCTTCAGAAATGTGGGTTAAAACGTTGAATAAGTTCATTCTAAAGCAAAACCATTTCTTTGTGCTGCTTTCATGATGGGATCGGCTCCCTGTGCCACATGCTGCGTCACCTGCAAATTGAAGTGCATCAGCCAGTTTGTACATTCATATGAGCTTGTAACTGTGTCAGTTCTGCAGGTGAACGTTGGTTCACAAAAGCTCACGGGCATCTTGGATCATCAGCAGTGCTCTTGATGGCACTGATGTATGAAACTTGTAAATGTGAGATCAAACAGAAATGTACTTAGAGAGCTCTCTGATTCATATTAGACCCTCAAAAATGAAGCCACCTGGGGCTAAAATGTGGTGACTCTTCTTGGAATTGATGAAGGCTTTATATTGGCCCCAAACTAAAGGGATTTTTTTAATTTGGAAAAGTTTCTTTTCCTGACTTACCTCACCTACAGAACAATTACACTTAGATGGGTGATAGTAACAGGAATTTCTCCAAAAATGGGCGGACTTTCTAGTCAAGTCCTTAGCCATACCTACAAGCTGATCAGACAAGAACTGTAAGTGAACACCTCTAAAGAATTACAAGTGTGATCTATTGATTTTCTGGCATAAAGAGTTTTTATTTTCTTTTTTAACTACACGTTCTCATTGGCTCAAAATTTGAGAAAAGGTATAGTTGTATTTTTCTTTTATTCTGAAGTTTAAAGTACCCAGGATATAAAATCATGTCAAAATAGCCGTAAAAGTTCTAGGAGTTTTGGGGCGTTTTGGCTGACTGCTAAGCACATATGCAACAGTTAAGCTTTATTTTGTTCTATACTGCAAATACCCCTTTTTGAAAAAAAGAGAAATAACTTTGTTATGACTTCTGTGCATGCTTTTCTTGAAGCGACTGTAATGAAGATGTTGCTAGATGAATGTGACTATAAAATTAAGCTGATAGTAAGCCAATGAAAAATTAAACCGATGAGGTGAGCCAATGAAAAATAAGGATCAAGTTGATTGCTATTACTTAAAAGATAAGTGAGATTTTTTCAGTATTTTATTCACTAAATTTATTTCATACTTTCCCTGAATAAAGGAATCCATATCTTTATTAAACATGTATTAAATATGATCAAAAGTATTCTAGTGATTTGTTATATAATGGCTTCTAGTTACAGCTGACATAGGTGCAAGTCTTCTCTTCTTCCCCCAAAGAGACACGTTGTGCTGGAGAGCAACACCATAAGTTTTCAGTGAAGGGACAATCAGTAGAACTTGATCTTGAAAAATGTAACTTTTTAAAATCTATTGTTTCAGGTAGTTACACGTCTTATTAGAGGTGGAAAACTCAAATTTGTATATTTGGAGGGTGGGCATGAGGTAGTAATATTCTTGGGAAATATTTTGCCCATTTTTCAGCTGTAAATAGCAGTATGCTGGTGGAGCAAATGTGCTTTTTTATGTACTTCGTACTCTGTTATTTTGTTTCCTCTTTCATCCATTTTCTTATCTGTAACCAATCCAAGTACTCTGAAATTGTTTCAAACATTCAAATACATTGCACTGTTTTTTCCCTATGTGCTTACCTGAAGGCCGATGACACTTATATCCAGTTGAAAAAGGATTTGGAGTATTTGGATCTGAAGGTAAGATTTTATAGGAGTCTACTTCCATTATTTTTTAACCCAGTGGTCTTTTTTTGTGTCATCTTTGCACCTGCAGGTTTTCAAATCACCTGTTCAGAGCCATCACTGTTTTGCTTAGAATATTGAAATTGTAGTGACTATACAATTGAAGTGGAACTCAGAAAATGTAGTTGCTTCAGTTTGTAGGAAGAACTTGTGTTACTGGTACTCCAGATGGATGATACTGTGTGGGTTTAGTGAAATCAGATAAAAAACTGATTCAAAATGTTTATTTGCTGTAGCATTAGAACCAATATGAAGTCAACTTCTCTAAGTTAAAATAGAATGTTCTTTTAATCCGGCTTTTTCTCGTTAAATCTTCTTGAGCTGACTTTTTCCTTGTTTTTATAATAGGCTGTATTTGTAAATTCTTATCTTGTCTTTATCATGTCTTTCTTGTGAAAATGTGATGATTAATTAGCACCTTGTTGTCTTCCTATTATTACAGCTAAGAGATTTCAAATGCACCCGTTCATCCATCCATCCATAGATAGAATCTGCCCAAATAATGTTACGTGATATTTCCTTTAAAAAAAATAATTTAAAAATATGATGCTGAGCATCAAAGTGGCTGTCCAAATGAAATTACTTCTGTGTCTGGTAAACACAATAGTTGGCAATTTGAAAGCAAATCTAGACTTACTAATATCAGATTTTGAAGAAAAAACTCCGAAACCATGTAATCATTTTGCTTAGCAAAGCAGTCTTTCTGCCCACTTTCTACGGTGTGTAGGATGTCTCACCACATCGATTTGTTACAGTTGAGGCCATGAAAGAGCTATTTGGTTACCCAGGAGATCCCCTCGTGCCTTCCTGCAGCCTGCGTAGCACCTGACGAAAGCAGCCAGAAAGAGAAATGTATGGGGGCTCCTGATCTTCCTGTGAGAAGAATCTTAATGTTAGTGTTAGTTCCCTTCTGAAAATCTTAACAGTCAAAATGTCAAGTGTGTTTCCATAAGAATGATCTAATTTTTCAGAATGGACATTTCTTAATAACCTTCTTTCAGTAGTGGTCTGGAAATGTGAAAATTCAGGTCAGGTTGCTAAGAGATTGAAGAGACCATGTGAAATTTGAGAAGGTGTCTTTGCATTGGTTAAATTTGTGTTTTGCCACTAAGTATAAATTACTGAAGAGATGCTTTGTTTTGCAGTATGAGGGGAAAAAAGAGTAGAGTGCTGGATGAAAATAAGCAAATTACATATTGATTTGGTAGTGGTGGAATATGACAAATTCACTGTTAAGATATATGATACCTTTCATTTAAGACACTGAAGGCTTAGAAAGGCTTTTAATTCAAGTCTCTCTCTTGACTTCATTAGGCTTTGAATCAAACTCACTCTGATTAAACAATTTCTAATAGGACTTTAGAATTGGAGTTAGACTTTTTTCATTTCAGTAAATCCATTATTTCTGAAAATCTCTCTTCCTAGAGGTTTTGAAACGTAACTTTTCCACATGGAATAGTGATTAAGCAATTAACTGCATAATACATGCCATAGTACTGAAACTGATTACGGTAACTGGTTACACAGCATTTTGTAACTTGTCATTTCTCACGTGTTCCGCCCCCCCCACTTTGCTCTTATTCTTTTATACTAGCCTATTTGTAATTGTTTAAGAACTTAAAAATATTATCTAAGAAATAATTTTTGATGTTAATAGCAAGATGAGATATTGTTCAACTTGATAGTGTATTGTCATAATATAAGTGGAAATTAAATAAAATGCTCTAGAGATATTAATCTATTTCAGTAGTTTTATCCTGCAGGCAAGCTAGTCCTGACATTAAAAAAAAAGTCTAAAGGCTGTTGACTCACACTGTAACGAACAATTATTGATAATTTTGAACTTGCCAAATACTAGGCATTGTGGGAGTGTCCTTTAATAATATTGCCTTTAGATTATGAAGTCTTTTTTTTCCCCTAAAATTTTTGCAATGACTCTATATTCTTTTTTCAGTCATGCAGTAAAGGTATGTGGAGCATGAAAGAAATGATGTATCTGTATGCTATAGCATAACCGTGCCTATTCTGCAAACAGATTTCTACAGTTGTGTTTCCACAGTTGGTTTTTCTTATCTCTAAAGTGGACAGGCACTGTATTATAAAAGCAGAAAGGAAGAGCAAAGCTCTTCCCCACAAGCTTCTAAGATAACTTTGCCAATAAGGTGAAACACAAGTGGTGAAGGAAGCTTCCCTTTTCATGACTATGAAATCAAGTTCAAGCAGGCTACAGGAGGGATGGATGGGCAGCCTCACTTCAGGGTAGTTTACAAACATTCTCAAGCAGGTTGTACAGTGTATGGATGAGGAAGCACAAGAAAGTTTGTGTCACTAAGTATAAATTGTGTGACCAGTTGAAGCAAATCTGAGACCACCTGAGTGGTCCTGCTTCATTCTTCTGCTGTCATGCTGTAGTATCTGGCGCTGTTTAGTTTCTACTGCAGTTGAAAGAGGTTGCTGGTGCAAGCTTGTGTCACATAGATAATGAAGGAAATACTGCATGGCAGGTATTTGTTGTGGGAGGAAGGGTAAGTGTGATTGAAGTAACTTTTTTGTCACTGAGGTTTTAACTAGGTTGCTCAAAGTGTCGATAGAGAGCTCTTGGTGCAAGCGTTGCTGCATGTTACATGACAGAAAATACTTTGCTGTAATTCCCAAGACTCTTGAAACTGCAACTGGGCAAGTCTGAGCAAATCCTGTTTTGTGATGTGTGTGTTTGTGTGTGTGTTTTGCAAAAGTAAAAACGTCTTATGGTTGGATGAGCAATCTACCCACAATATAACAAGATAGGTCAATATCCAGTTGTAGCTTGCGTAATGGCAAGTTATATAGACTGTAAACCTCAAGGACCGGAGTGACATCAGAGCATACGATTATTGCTGCTCATGGAGTTTTGAGTTGTAAGGTTTGGGGGTTTTAATTTTTACATCTATAACGAGCTATTACTAAACTTTTGTTTGAAACAGATAGAAAATAATGGACCTCTGATCAACATGATATACAAAGTGCTAAAGAACTCAGCACAAGGGTTACTATCCAGTATACATGTAAGACTGCTTGCATCTGAAATGTGCTCATCCCATTGCTTTTTAAAATAGCAGTCAATGTTTATATATTCTGGCTTTATGGGTGTTTTATGGTAAACAGTAAAGCTTTCCATAAGATTTTTTTCTTTCCTTTTTTTTTTTTTTCTAATTTATTTATTCCCCTTTTGGAGTCTGTATGCAAAATTATGGCTGACCTCAGTGTTTGGTTTCATTTTATCATGTTTTGAAAATGATTGTGTCAAGTAGTAACTCCTATGTGTAATTTTGAAAATGTGCAAGCATGCTAAATCTTCATTATGTTCTCATGTTCACTGCTTGATAATTAACAAATTCTTTACAGTTCTGATTATGTAACTTAAAATATCCCAAAATCTGTAGTCTCTGTTTTTTGTGTTAATTCCATTGTTTTGAAAAAGGCTTTTGCATTCTCTTAGCTTGCAGGTAATTAAATATGCAAAATTATTAATTTGACATGATAGTATTTATGCTTATATTTAATGGCTTGTTACTATTTTACGTAGGATTTGGCATTCAAGTAATTACATTAATACTTTTGAAAGAAAGGATTTTTCTTATATAAAACATTTAACTGTAGAAAATGAAAATAACTGAAAATTAAAAGTTTTGAGAGGCAGTAAATGCCAAAATTTATTTTGGTGGTAGGGAAGAAACATTTCACCACAGGAAAATGCATAATAAGTGTCTGAATAGAGTCTGCCATTGGAGGAGAGAACACAGTAAACATAAATGATGACCATACTCTTCTGTCCTAAACCCACTTTGTTATTTGAAAATACTATGTGTAGATGACTAACTTAATAAAACATGTTAAATAAGAAACTGAGGTTGCAGCAAAGATTTATCTACACTTCCATTAAAAAATAATTACTTTAAGAAAGCTAGCATGCTCCTGTAGGTGCCTGTTTGGGTAATAAGTGAACTATGTTGCTTCAACTCTGGAGATTGCCAGTCAGAGTCAGTAAAAATGCAAACTACCGCTTCCACCCCACCAAAAAAAGCCAACAACTTCTGCTCTTATATTAAAACTTCTGCTTTTATATTATTAAAGACAATATTTAGATGAACTTTTCTTCATAAGCTCTTGCCTGTGTATGAATAGAAATATACTGTTTATGAGTACTATAATTCTAAACATGAAGTGTTTCTTTCGTAAGGTAGTATTTGCTTTAATGAATCATTTAAAATGTTCTAATCTAGTAATATTAAGTCATTAGATTTTAAGGCTATTAAAAACTGTGTGATTAATGAGCTATTTATATTGCCATTCTCTTAACCTCGTTTATTCACAAAAAGGGTCTCATGTAGGCAATAGAAATAATAAACTTTTCTACAGAGATAGACATGCCTTCATTTTAAGAATGCTGTGAAGGTTGGAAGTATAATATAGTATCGTTTCTGTACTGATTTTAAAACGGTGCTATGTGAGAAGATAATCTTCTCACCAGAAATTGAATATGAAACGAGTGATTTATGGAATGAGAGATTTGTAATATTATAAACATGTCAAAATAGATTAATTGCATTTAGTTCCACTACAGCAGTTTTATAGCAGTCTGTTTTTAATAAAATTCACCCTGTGCTATGGAAGAGACTATCCTTTGTACAATGAAATAGTTGCCAAAAAGTTGTATTTCTAGTCATTAATTAACGCTGTTATTCTTGCAACTGTGCATTTAAAGGAACTATTCAAGTCCTTTGGCTTCCAGAAAGCTATTCAAGGCGAACTGTTAAAACTATTAGGTTTTGCAGGAACAGGACTTTCGTAACCATAGACAAGTAGGATTATACTGTTTTCTACAGAATCTTAAGCTACCGTAAGAGTTATTTAATAACCTAATATAACTAGTAATTCTTTCTGATGACATTTTTAAAAAAACGAAAACCATATTTGAAAATCCTCATATCCAAAATTTTATTAATCTTTATTAATAACTGGGAATATTTAACAAAACTTTTCGTTGCTGAAGCATAATTAGGTTTTAGTTTGCTAAAAAATTTCTCAGCTCTTTAAAACCTGTTCCTCATAGGTGACAGGGCGTGACGCGTTAAAAGAACGAAGTACAAAACCTGTCAAGATTGCAGAAAGTGATACTGATGTAAGTATGAAATACCACTTCAGAACCTCTTGCGTTGTTTTGATTTGTCTTGTACTGTTATGTGTTCACATTATTATGCTCTTTGGGGTAAAATACTGCTAATGGAGACTTTTCCGCTTAGTTTTTAAAATCTAACATTATATATTTATATGATTTCATTTTCAGGTCAAGCTAAGCGTTTTCTGTGAGCAGGACAGAATTTTGCAGGACTTGGAGGACAAATTAAGAGCCCTTAAGGAAAATAAAGTAAGTGGATTAAAAAGAGGTTTATAAAATAAAATAAAATAAAAACTTTCCTCTAATCATAAAATAAGAAATTACAAACAAAAAATCAAATTACTGAATGCTGCTTGCATTGTAGTAGTTTTCTTTGGACATGTGTATAACCTTAAGAAAAAAGAATTCGTTTTTATGTTAGGATTGAATACCCACTTTTAGAAAATGTGTTTTTGCAAATAAATGTTTTAAAACCACGTACATTTAATTTTCTGGCATTTATTACAAATTGGGGTATGTACACTTTTCTGTGTAGTTTTGCTTTATATCTTAATACGTATATGGTGTGAGGCAGAGCCATGTTTCATTTGCAGTTTCCCACCTGCACAAACATTGTTTGCATAAATAGCAGCATGCTACTGTATTGAGCTCACACTGTAACTGGTGTGGTATTTTCTTGGGTTTTTTTTGGGGTTTTATAAAAAATAAAAATAAAAAAGAGAGTGAGAGAAGGGAGGGAAATTGAAATTTGCAGTGATTTCAGAAACCTGTGCTGATTTATATATAGTACTGTGAACATAGTTCTGAGGATTATGACTGAAATACTGGAATATCTTCTGTGACAAGTTCATAGTTGGAACCTACCTCCTTTCCTCCGTGCCTATTCAAGTCAGAGTTCAAATAGTAAACAATGACAAAATGGTTTGCCTTTCCTTGTCTTTCCCTGCCTGTATGTATCTTTATCTGCTTCACTGCCTATGAGCTATAGCTGTCAATAAATTGAGATGTTTCAGAAAAAATCTATTCTAAAATGAAAGTACTGTCCACACGGATCCTTCGGAAGAGGTACTGTGCAAAAATGAATCAGTGTTATTTACTCTTGATGGAATGAATTGGGCCTACTTAGTGTTTTAGACAATATTTTAATTGCTCACATGGCTAATTCAGCTATAACAGTGAATGAGAACCTCTCCTTAAACAGCTAATGTTATGCTGTGGTATGGCTGCGTCAGTTCTATATTGCTAAAGGGAATTTTTCTGAAACTGTAAATTATAGTTTTGTACAGACTGTAAGTAGAAAAATTCCCCTCTCACTGCTTTGTGTTTTTAAACAGTTTTGGCTACTTAATGGAAAGATTTAATGGAAAATGTCAGATAATTTCAGTTATAATAGTTAATTAAGGCTCTTGCACTTTTTTGTTTACATCTTAGTCTCCACAACAGGAAGCCAGTCCTAACCTCTAGTGGCTTATAGGCAAGACTGAGACTGTGGAAAACAACTTTTGTTTTCCCGCAGGTAGATCCGTGAAATTCCGTCTAAATGTTGTAAGCTTACTGCCATCATCTTCTTTGTTAGGACCAGCTGGAGTCTGTTTTGGAGGTTTTACACAGGCAGATGGAACAGTACAAAGACCAACCACAACATGCAGAAAAAATTTCTTACCAGCAGAGACTTTTGCAAGAGGATCTCATACATATTCGGGCTGAAATATCCAAAGTTTCAACGGTAGGTGTTTTCGTTGATTCAAGAAAACTAAAATTAAAATACCAGTTAGAGTAAAACTGTGTTGTTCATTGCATAGGGGAGTTAAGTCCTGTTCTGAACTGATTTGGTTAAGGTACAGGATACTAAACCAGAACAAAAAAATTTCAACAATCTCTCTGGTTTTCCTTTTAAATGCACTCTTCCCATCCCCTCCTCCCCAAAAAAAAGCTCAAAAAACTTTTTTCATTTATGTATGAGGCTTAAATTGCAAATCTTTGGGCTAGTCCTTTGAAAATATATATATGATTCTGAGGGGAAAAGGAATTCGGAAAGTTTGATATTTTGGTCAAAATTTACTGTTAATATTCTGACTTAATGGCATTCAAATGCAGTGTAATGTTGCATTTTTATTAATAAAAATATTTCTAAGAATTGACCATGAAAGAGAGTATATCAAACCTGAGTGTTGTGTACTTGCTATATTAATCCTATCTCTTAATGAATATGGCACCAGCTCTTCATAAGATTGTTTCTAGAATTGCATGAATGCATTTCCTGTAGTAATATCTGATAATTAAAATCCTAGTATTATTTAAATGTATATATGCAGTGTTTTGTGTCATAGAAAATGTATGACTTCCACAGGCAGCATTTAAAATTTAATCTGAGGCATAAAATGCAAATAATTGTAAGAATGACTGTACTGGTCTAGTCCAAGGCTCCTTTAGCTCAGGGTTCTGGCTTCAGCAGTGGATATAAGCAGATGCTTAGGGAAGAGTAAAGATAGGAGAGGTGAGTAGTATTTCCTGTCATAACCAATCCAGCTTCTAACTATTTTCTGCTCAGAGAATTCCTGAGGCTGGTATTTTTTTTTTTAATCTATTTAGTAATCCTCAATAGATCTCATTTCCAAGAACCTGTACAGTCTGCTGTTAAGTTCTGTGAACCTTTTGCATCCAAAGGATCATTTGGCAAGATATTGCACGTATCTTTTCCCCACTGCATGGACAACCACTTTCTTTTATTTGTTTTTAGCCTGACTTGCACATGTTTCATGTGATAGACCCTTGTTCTTGTATCAGAAAGAATGGGGAATTGTCAGTCATTATCCACTCGCTCCTTGCCACTCATAGTTTCATAGACCTCCATGACTTCTTCTGCTCAGCTCCCAAGCGCTCTCTTTTCTAGACTTCAGAGAAAAAGCCCACTTCCTCATTCTTTATATAAAAGTGCTCCAGACTCTTGATTTTTCTCAGTTCTGGGTCAGAAGGCAGACTATGGTGCCATGAATGCTGGAAATAATCTAAGTAAAGTAAGGGTGATTGGATAGCCTCATATTCCAGGTGTTTGCTTGTTTATTCAGTTGCAATGCCATTACAACACAATCTGTAGAGCTTTGTGTTTCAAAACATGAGTTCTGGTTTAGGTGACTGTTTAGATTTTAATTGTAAACTTGTTTTAGAGGAATAAGGTAAAAGGAACTGGAATAGACTTGATTGCTTCATAGCATATTAGTTATAGTTCAGATTCTATTAAATGCCAGTTTTATGCTCAAGAAATGTATTTGTGTGGGGAAGCTTGCCAGAATTTTTTAACTTGGGATTCTTGACTTGATCTTGCAACCTATGAAACGTTTTGAAGTTTATCATCAACTCTAAGCAAAAAATGTAGACTACAAAATTGACTTTTTGCTGCTTTTTATGATAGAACAACACTGTCTTAAAACCACGTTGGTGCTCAATTATATGGATAGAGCAATTTTGAAGTTTATCGTTAACATTGTATTAGAGTATTCCCTCTGTTAATAGGAAATGGAAAATGCCTGGAATGAATATCTGAAATTAGAAAAGGACGTGAGCCAACTGAAAAAAGCCTTACAGGAACAGATGAATAGTTCATTGGTATCTCAGGTGAGTCCGTTTCCAGACACTGGTTTACTTATGAGATGATTTTGTCTGAACTTGAAAGCTATCATCTCGTAAGAGAAATTCTCTGCCATTTTTGCACTATAGTCAACTGTCATGTAGCTTAGTTTGCAAACTTCACACATTGTAGCAGCGTAGCTGTGCAGTAACTAGCTATCTTGCAGCATGTGTAATAGTTTCTCATAAATTGCCTATGCAAATTTGTCATTATTTTATTATATTTTTATTACGTGCTGACATCTTGACATTGATAACGTATTTAATTTATAAGACTATGCAGGACTTCTTAGTCTTCCATTTATTTGATCTGACATTGTTGGCTCTCTATCCATTTTTAAGAACATCAGTCACTAGCTTGTTATTGTCATTACTTGTTCTTTGTCATGTTCTTCTATTTATGGAAGATTTATCTCTGCAGATTGTTTTGTGAAGTGGAATAAGTGTTTAACAGCCATTGGTAATTGAAAGGCATCTTGGTTTTAAATCAATTATTCAGTTTTGAATCTTACAAAGAAGCTTTGTTTGAAGCTAAGTTATTCTGTTTGCTGAACTGGATGTGGCATACCAGATTATTTCTACATATCTGCTTACAGCTGGTTATTTTATTCTTAGAGCAAGAAATACAGTCCAGATTATTTTTCCTGTGTTTAAGCAGAACAGTTTTATTTAAGAGACAAAACACAAGGAGCAAAGCTAATGTACACATTTTGCTCAAATCTTAGCCTACTTTTTCAAATATCCTGGACCAAAAGAGCTCACTAGTTAAATTTATAAATGTATTTATTTGCAACAAATATCTGATCAGATATGAATTGAAGTCCCTTTGTTTTCGCTATTAATGGAGAAATGTTTTGTATTGAAGTGAGAATTGTAAAACTTTTTTAATTGCATCAATCTTCAAAGTCCGTTTTCATTTACTTCTGATTTTGGGGGAATGGGGGAGTGATTCATATTCTAGAGCCAGAATATTACGTAATTTAGCTCAGCTGTAGAATACATGTCTCCAAAAAATCCCAGGGGTATTTTAGAATAAAATCAGCCCTGTATGAAGTTAATTGGTTTAACAAAGGGAAATTACAGGTTTAAACAAAATATACTTTGTTAAAGTACTTTAGCAAACAATTTCCAGTTGTGCATTACAAATGCTTAAAATACTGGATGTAATTCAGTGAAATATGCAGAAAAGGAATGCGGTTTGCACAGAAAAAATATTAACTCATTTTTATTATCATCTCCTATCACATACGTGCATAATTATAAAAAAATACACATGCACGTACACACAAACATACACACATTATGTGTATTGTTTATGTATACTTACATACTTATGCATACATATATGTACATATATATATTTGACTAAGATTTTAAAAAATTGTGGAGATACTAAGAGGAGCTGATTTTTTCAGAAAGTACTGAATATTCTTAAAACTAAATTCCTTCAAAGAGGTCTCTCTTGAAGTACCCGTAGTAGTTTTTGGTCCCTACTTGAGGGTATGTAGACTGAAATTTGTTTATCTAGTATTTTTCAATAGCACTAAATTAATACACACTGTATTTAAAAAAATGCAATCTTCATGGAATATTATTAAAAATTCAATAAGTTTACAGGCTCAAGTTGCTGTAGGAAACAGCGAATGTCGTTTGTATATAGCATTAATTAAGAGGTTAAAACCTAAATGTTTCAAGCAGCTTAGAGTAAATCTTGATTTTTAAGAGTGTAGCCTCATTCTCTTTTGCTTAAGGGTTGGGGTGATCTGGGCATGCTGAAATTAACTGAGATGTGCTATTTTGTCAGTGGTAACTTTTTAGTTGGTAAGTGTTTCTCCTCTGGTTTTATAAATCATTGTAAATTATGTTTCTGTGTGAAGAAAGTTAGAGAAATTGATTTATTTCTCCGAGTTATCTTTTCATGCTTGCCCATAAAGTACATTTATACCCTTTCGTGAACAGCAGTCTTGGCTTTCATAATTTAAAAATAAATTCATCTGTTTATCTTTTAGATCTAGTCCATTTTTGGTCTAAAATATTCTCTTCACATCAATATTTAAGTAATGGGAAGAAATAATATTAAAAGATCTCTTGGCTTTTGTAAATTACTGATCGAACATTTTCTGAGTAGTTTCAGAAGCAGAATTTTTTTGGACGTGTGGAGTTTTTTTAAGCAGTTCTTAGGCTCGATTATTGTAAATCCATCATTTGGTTTCTTGTAGTATGATTGATCTCAGAAAAATGAAATGAAACGAGCAAATTTATAGTTTGTATCCTGACAGTCTTTCAAGATCTGTCCCATCTATCGAGTGAGTTTACTACAGGCAAATAACGTTCTCCATCATTTAAATGTTTGTGTTCTTGGCACCCTGTTTGCTGATCTATAACCTGGCTGAACATATTTTCTGATCTAAGACAGAAAATGGAAAGCAATTTGTATGCCTTTCTCAGTTCTACGAAGTGCAAGAGCTTTTATTAAAGTTTTTCTCTTTCAGGCTTATAGGATTAATTAGTGGTTATTTTGCAGCTCATGGCAGGTGATGAATTTCTAGAGTTCTTGTACAATTTGTAAGCAATTCTTAACTAAAGTGTTTTACCGCGTTCTGCTGTCTTCAATAACAGTTGTCTTCTTGGTTTTACTAAGTTTATTCTTAATGCAAATTTTCGAAGGCAGAATTGCCAGGCTTTGATTAAGTAGATGAGAATAGCTATTTATGATGACTGCAGTGAACATCTGACTGAAGTGGTGGCTTCAGTTATCAAGGCCGCTGGCTGCAAGATGCAATCAAAGGCGGAGTCCAGACTGTAGAAAAAGCTTACTTTCTTTCTACTGGAAAGACTTGGTAAAGCAAATAGAACACAAGATAAGACCAAATCCTGGAACAGCAGCAATATATTGTTTCAACTTGTAATACATCACATCCAGTAGGCCTAACGACCCACACATAAGCAGAAATTAAATTTATCAGCCCTTCTGTTTTGGTTTTATATTCATAGAATCATAGAATGGCATAGGCTGGAAGGGACCTTAGAGATCATCTAATCCAACCTCCCTGTCATGGGCAGGTACGCCTCTCAACTAGATCAGGCTCCTCAAGGCTCTGTCCAACCTGGCCTTGAACACCTCCAGGGAGGGGGCATCCACAACCTCTCTGGGCAATCTATTCCAAAATCTCACCACCCTCGTACTGAAGAATTTCTTCCTAAAATCTAGTCTAAATCTGTTCTCCTTCAACTTAAACCCATTTGCCCTTGTCCTATCAGTGGACACTCTTGTAAAAAGTCCCTCCCCAGCCTTCCTGTAGGTTCCCTTCAGGTATTGGAAGACAGCTATTAGGTCCCCCTGAAGACTTCTCTTTTCAAGGCTGAACAATCCCAGCTCCCGCAACCTGTCCTCGTAGCGGAGGTGCTCCAGCCCCTGGATCATCTTTGTGGCCCTCCTCTGAACACGCTCCAACAGATCTATGTCTCTCTTATGGTGGGGACACCAGAACTGGACACAGTATTCAAGGTGGGGGTCTCACGAGAGCAGAGTAAAGGGGCAGAATCACCTCTCTTGACCTACTGACCACACTTCTCTTGATACATCCCAGGATGCAGTTGGCCTTCTGAGCGGCATGAGCGCACTGCCGGCTCATGTTGAGCTT